TTCCTCCTTTATAGCAAGTACACACAGAATTGTTCAGTCATGGTATTATCTCTCACACTATACAGATTATCTGAAATCCTGCTCAATGAAAGTTGACAAGAATTAAAAGTATTATTCACGTGGAGCAACTTGTACCTTGCACCATGGTGTGATTAAATCAGGTGAAGATGAGGCATAAAAATAATCTACTATGGACATATTTCTGTGTTGATAAGTATTTACACTGATTATACTGCCATGTGGCTAAGTAATATACCACTAGGGAAATAGATGTTGCTTAAAGGAATATCAGTAAGGTGTTAAATTCATTTAAAGATCATCATCTGACAGAGTTCTTATAAAGTCTCTGCCATTTTAAAACACTTGACACATATTCATTACCTGGAAATATAAAATCCTTGCTATCTCTGGTCTAAAAGTGAAATTGTATTAAATTAGTTACCACAAATATGCCAAAACCCAGAAGAACTAAATCCTCTCTTAGAAATGTTTACAATACCTCAAAGTTACAAAACAATTGAAGCAATAGTGCAAAATAATGAATACCTTTTAAAATAAATCATAGGAGCTATAATTACCCCCATATGCCTCAACTATAACCCACCGTAAGAGTTAGTATGTTCTGAATCAGGAGACCTGAGATTTAAATTGCTCATTCAAGGATGAATTTGATGTTACATGAAATGGAAAAACATGGTGCATGAAAGATGCTTGGATCTATCTAGTCTCAGGTTCTCAGTCATCCAAGCAGTGCTAGGTATGAGCTCCATCTTATGGAGTGGGCCTTAAGTCAATCGGACATTGATTAGTTACTCCCACAACTTTTAAGCCACCACTGTACGAGCATATCTTGCAGAAAGAACACCATTGTAGATCAAAGAATTTTAGCTAGCTTTGTGTTTGTTTCTTTCTTGGTAGAATGCAGAGCTCTTTCTTGTGCCAAGCATGATAGAACCAACAAATGAAGGGGCCTATATAGGCACAGCTTGATTTCTACATGTTCAATGAGTTGTGTAGGTGTCATCAGCAATGGGGCCTTGCCATCAGTTTGTGGAGAGCAGGCTATAGTCTTGGAAACAACTTGGGTTGACTGGGCATTGCCATGAGACCTCTTTAATCAGCAACTCATATGTAACCCAGTCCTTGTGCTGGAAGATTGATTTTGTGATAAGAAATGGACCACTTGGACTCTGTCTCTCCATTATTTGGCAATTTCATTTAAATTGCTTTTATGTAGGTAATTATTTTAGGAAGTTTCTACTGTATTAGGTTTCCATACTACCCTTCAAATGGCCCTTAATTTTAGCTGTCTCTCCCTGTGTTCCTTACCTCACCCCTTCCCATTGAATCTTCCCATTCCAGCTCTCCCTCCTTATTCCTACCAATTAACTATCAATTCTATTTTGCTTTCCTAAGAAGATCCATCTGCCAACCCTACTTGCATACTCTACAGGTGCTTTTGATTGATGGTTATACAGATTGTAGCTTAGTAATCATTGAATTAACAGCCCATATGCACATATAAGTACATAGAAACTGTATTTGTCTGTTGGGTCTGTAATATCTCACACAAGATGTTTTTTTTCTAGTTACAACAATTTACCTGTTAATTTTCTGTTGTCATATTTAAATGCCTAAATAACACTTCATTTTGTGAAAGAAGCATATTTTCTTTATCCATTCTTCTGTTGAAAGACATGTAAGTTGTTTTTCTTTACTGGCTACTATGAATAGAGCAGCTAAGAACATACTTGAGCAGAGAGGTCTTTGGGATAGGATGAAGCATCCTTTGGATGCATAATCAAGAGTAATATAGCTGGGTCTTGAGGTAGAAAAATCGCCATCTTCCTAAGGAACCACCATACTGATTTCCATAGTAACTGTAAAAGTTTACACTCCCACCATCAGTGGATGAGGGTTTCCCTTGTTTCACATTCTTGCCAGAAGAAGCTGTCATTTGTTTGGTTGCTTTTACCCATTCTGACAGGTGTAAGATTGAATCTCAAAGTAGTTTTGATTTGCATTTCCCTGATGGCTATTGACGTTGAACATTTCTTTACATACTTCTCAGCCACTTGAGTTTATTCTGTTGACAACCTATTTAGATCTGTACCCCATATATATATTATATATATATATATATTATATATATATAATTGAGTTATTTGGTTTTTTGATATCTATTTTCTTGAATATATATTCAAGAAATATTGAATATATATGAGGTTAGCTCTATATTGAATGTGTAGTTAATAAAACTATTTTCCTATTCTATAGGCTGCTTCCTTATCTGAATGCTTGTGTCCTGTGCATTACTGAAGCTTTTTAGTTTTATGATGACCAATTTATTATTTGTTGATTTTAATGCCTATTTTAACAGTGTTCTGGTTAGAACGTCTTCTCCTATACCAATGAATTCAAGGCCTTTCCCTATTTTCTATTCTGAGGTTTACTGTAGCTGGTTTTATGATCCTTTTAGAGTTGATGTTTGTGCAGTGTGATAAATAATGATTTTGTATATGCAGCCATCTAGTTTTACCAGCATCATTTGTTGAAAATGCTGCTATCTAGATTTTCATTCCAAACTATGCCTAAACTAACCAAGAGAAGGAAAAGAAGGTTCACATCACACTTGACTAGTTGAGTCATGAGCCGCTTGACACACATTCTTCAGTGGGAAAAGGTGGTTACTTAGATTAAAGTGTTCTGTCTTGCTGCACGCATATGGTACACTGATATACATTCAGGCAAAACACCCATACATATAAAATTAAAATAAAGGACCGGTTTTATCTTAAGTAAAACATATAAAAAATGGTTAAGAAAAGAGTAACCAACTGCTGGTAGAGTATTTTTAAAAATATAGATATAGGTCTTAGCATAAATGTTTAGTAAAGTCAGTTTATTTTAGAGAGATGAATTTATAACACATGGTTGAGGTTGAGACAATTGTAAAGATGAGACAGATTCATCCTAAAAAAAAATTCATCCAAGTAAAGGTTATCATATTCAACGCTAGGATTTGGAAGAGTATTTTCACACTGTGTGCAAAAAAAAATGGACTATTTTAAGCAAGATAAAATAACACAAGAACTGTGTTAAGGGTGATTAATGTAGCTTCAGTTTGTGAGGTGGGTAAGATGAAGCCTGTGCTAAAGACATCTCTAAAATAATCATGGGCTTGAGCCAGGGTGGTTGTCATGAATCATCAAACAAGGGGATCCACACACAAATTCTCAAAGGAAAAATATCCAGGTACTGGTTACATGTTTGGCATATAAATATGGATATAGGGCCAATAGTAACTCCAGAGTTTGAGCCTTTACAAAAAGAGATAGATTCATGCTAAGTGGAAATCTCACAGAGAGCATATTTGGAGAGAACACTGCAAAGCTTTGGAAGTGATGGTGGTATATTCCAAATGGAATGTTCCAGAAATGTTTAAATATGTTAGTCTCTATTTCACAATGTGTGCATGTTTGCAGGACACTTATTTAAAAATATACGGGAAGAACAAGTGAGGATAAACAGAGTGAAAAACCTAAATAAGTACATGCATTTTAAAATGAAGGTGGAAGACCAGTGTAAGTTATTATAAACAAATTGGCAGGGGATGTACATTGAAAGACCAAAAAACATGACCTTAAAGGAGATGAGCTGTAGAAGAGGAATAAATTTTTAATGAGGAGTCCAAATAAGAGGCAGAGATTCACTTTAAAAGACAAAAACTCGCCTGTTTTAAACTGATAAGAACAGATCCTACACATGATCTTAGCCAGAAAGGCAAGAAGATCTCCTGAGGAAATTGGGAGTGTGGGAGTCACGGAAGAGGGTAGAAAGGGAGGGGAGGAAGGGAGGAGAGCAGAGAAAAATATATAGCTCAAATAAAAAAAATTCACTTGTTTTAAGATGGGTAGGAAAAAATGTAAGAAAATATATCTTAGGGACTTGTGTGTCTTGAAAGCTGAAGGGGTCTTACAGTAGGCTAGTTGAGCCAGGAGGAACAATATTATCCAAGGGGTTAGGGAGTGGAACAAAAGCATTTAGGTTTATGAATCGGGGATTGAGTTACATGGAAATACAAATAGCACAGAACCCATGTGTGAAAGTATAATAGCAGTCCTGGGTATGTACAAGAAGGTTTTGAATATTTAATGATATGGTGACTAAACGCTGGTATTGGTGAGTTCATTTCATCTTTGCATCATATAATCTGTTCTGTATTATGGAATGCTAGTATGACATGCATAAGAAACAAAGTCCATAAATAAGCACATAAGATAATAGATTATGTAGTCATTAAAATGAGTTAAAATAATGTAAAAGAAGAAAAGAATGACTAACATTCTTGCTTTTTTAGGGATAAAATGAAATAGTTCGTAAAGAATTAAAATATTTGTTTATGTAAATTCTCTTAGGAACTCAGTAAGGTGTAAGAGAGCATTAGTTCAGTGTGTTCTGACTTTGGCATCCATTTAACACAGAGCGTTTTGCTGATTAAGGTTTCATGAGCTAAGATTGGTGTTTTATTGAGAAAAGGATAGGGGCAAGAAGAAATTTAAGGGATAACAGAAACCATCCTTTTAAAAGAAAGGCTATCTCAGTTGATGCATATTGGTTAAATAACATAAGAATTCATTCTGTCTGTGTAACACTTAGGGAGCTGCAAAGAGAAAAAGATGCTGTCTTAAACAAGAGGGTGGGCAAGCACTGAAACCTGAGCCTGTCCTCTGACTTCGACACACACTCCATGGCATAAGCCTACCTCATGCAAACACACACTCCTCTCTCTCTCTCTCTCTCTCTCTCTCTCTCTCTCTCTCTCTCTCTCTCTCTTTCTCTCTCTCTCTCTCTCTCTCTCTCTCTGACACACACACACACACGTAAAATGTTTCAAAATTAAAAACAAAACTATTATAAAATGATTTGAATCATCAAAAATGGGGGCATAGAAGATTGTAGACATTTTGTGAAGCTTATATGGCTATCTTGTTTCCTAGGTTATTATGTGAGCACAGCAGGAAGCTGCAATTTTGAAACAGCATCTGAAGACTGGACTGTAGTTTGTGGTCTCACCCAAGATCCTGAAGATGACTTGGATTGGGCCATTGGCAGCACAATTCCTACTGAAGCTTTGAACCCTGATTCTGATCACACACCAGGTAAATTTAGTAGCTATGGGGAAGCAAATGGTGTGAATTTTCCTGTAAAGTAGAACTTGGAAAGATAAGTAAAAGAGCTGTCTCTTCTATTTTAAATACTGAAATCTTAGACTCTGTCACTGTCACAGGGAAGCCCATGACTTCTTTTTAATTAAAAAAGAATAAATAAAATAAAAGGAAAAAAAGAATGAAAGTCACCTTTTTAAACATTGTTTTCACTTTTTATTTATTCTTTTCTCACATACTATATCCTGACTGCGGACTCCCCTTTCTCCACTCCTCCCAATTCCTCCTCACCTCCACTGCTCCCCTATTTTTCTTCAAAAAAGAGCAGGCCTCCTAAAATATCCACCAAAACCACAAACCCTCATATCAAGGCTGGGAAACGCAACACAGTAGTTGAAAAATGATCCTTAAAGAAGGTAAAAGAGTCAGAGACACCCACACTCTATTAGGAGTCCCATGAAAATGTCAAGATGACAATCACAACGTATATGCATAGGACCTAGCGCAGATCCACGCAGGCTCTCTGATTGCAGTTCCACTCTCTGTGAGCCTCTAGGAGCCCCGCTTAATTGTTCTATGGGCTGTGTTCTCCTGGTGTTCTCCACCCCTCTGTTGACTACAATCCTTCCTCCCCCTCTTCTGAGGGTTCCCTGACCTTTTGTCTACACCTAATATTTAGCTGTAGGTCTCTTCATCTGCTCCCATCAGTTGCTGGATGAAGCCTCTCTGGTAATGACTGGGCTAGGCACCAATATGTGAGTATATCAGAATATCATTAGGAATGATTTTACCGACTTTTCTTTTGGGACAGTTGTGTTCTTTTTTACCATAGGTCTGTATGTGGGTCATTCAGCTTCCATTTCCTAACGAGGCAGTATTAGGCATGGCCTCCCTCTCTTGGTGTGGGCCTGAGATTAATTCCTCACTCTCACAAGTTCTGAGTCACTATTGCCATACCTTGTCTTGAAGGTAGGACAAGTTGTAGGTTGAAGATTTATGTGACTGGGTTAGTATCTCAGTCCTACCCTAGAAGATTTGTCTTTTACAGAAGATGGCCAGTTTAGGCTCCATATCTCCCATTACTCGGTGTCCTTGCTAGGGTCATCCTCATAGGTTCCAGGAAGTTTCTACTGTACTTGGTATCGCCCCTCAAATGCCCCTTCAAAAATTCTAGTCATCTTTCCCTCCATCCCTCCTTCCTCTACTAGATCCCTCCTGTTCCCATCTCTATGCATCCCTAGTCCACCTGCAAAATCTATTCTGTTTCTTCTTACCAGGGAGTTCCATCTGTAATCCCTAGAGCTTTCCTTGGTACTTTGCCTTTCTGTGGATTATAGTGTGATTTTCCTTTATTTAACAGCTAATACTTATAAGTGAGTACATATGTTTCACTTTCTGGGTCTGGGTTTCCTTGCTTAGAATGATTCTTTTTTTTAGTTTTATACATTTGCCTTTAAATTTCATAAAGTCATTTTTTAACAGCTGACTAATACTCTATTGTGTAAATATACTACATTTTCTTTATCTACTCTTCAGTCGAGGGACATCTAATTAACTCCTGACAGAGTCACATTTCTCAATAAAATTAGGGGATGTAAAGTGATAAAACTACACAAAAAGGGGAGGGAGGAGAGGGACTAGGAAAAGAAGAGGGAGGGGAAACCATAGATAAAAGCTTTTGTCCTGTCCAGTCCCATGGCCATTTGGTCCCAAAGAAATACACAAAGAATTATAACAATTATAAACTGTTTGGCCTATTATCTCAGGCTTATTATTAACTAGCTCTTACAACTTAAATTAACCCACAATTCTTGTCTATGTTAGCTATGTGGCTTGGTACCTTTTCTCAGTGAGGCATTCTCATCTTGATTCCTCTGCGTCTGGTTGGCAACTACAGACTGAGCCTTTCCTCTTCCCGGAATTCTCCTTGTCTGGTCACCCCATCTATACTTTCTGCCTAACTACTGGCCAATCATCATTTCATTAAGCCAATACAAGTGACAAATCTTTACAGGGTAAAAGAGCATTATCCCACAGCAGTAAACTGTGCATGGGATGTAAAAACAAAACAATATATAAATAATAAATACAGAAAGAAGAATAATAAGAAAGGACAAATTATGATCAATCATCAGTCCCTTGATGACTACACCATCCACTTAAAGAGACATTGGTTCTAAATACAGCACAGTACGACTTGTTAAATATTAAAAACCACTGATTTTTCCTGCAAAATACTTAGAATCTTTTATCATAATTTATAATTTAAAACTACTTTTCCTACTCTTTGTTCCCCCAAATCCTCCCACATAACTCACATTCTTTCCCTCTCTTAAATTCATGGTCTCCATTTCTATAACTGTTGTTTTATGTATATATAGTTTTTTTCCTATAAAATGTATCTTTTTAAGATTATGAAGCAGCCTGAAATATTTGATGTGTTTCATTTCATTTGTCAAAATGAGCATTGTTAAAGGCTTAGGTTGACATTTAAATTGTAGAATTCTGAGTAAAAGAGATTTCCTGCCATAATGTTGTCTTGTGCCAGTCTGTCTAGAACAACAACAACAACAAAAAAGACAGCCCCTTTAGGAAGATAAAGAACACTCATTGGATTGTCTTTGAACTTCATCTATGCCATAAGCTTTTCTCCACTCCAGGCTGGTAGCCCCTTCTGAGACTCACTACCCTCCTGATTTCTTAAGCCACTCCCTTATAAAATCTCTGTCTCATCTCTGTCTCTATGTCTCTGTGACTCTTTGTCTCTGTCTTTCTGTCACCTTTTCTGTACTTAAGCATGCATGTTTATATGCACATTCAGAGTTTTCAGGTCTGTTTTACTGGAGAACCTGAATGCAGTAGCCCCCTCAAACAATTGGAGCAAGGAACAGTAGCAAACCACAGAATAATTTGATAATTAAATAATATTTCAAAGGAAATATACAGAAGATTGGCTTAGCCAATATATGGTCAGAAAAAAGGAACACATTGTTTTATTTTTATAGATTCTGAGCAGATTAAATATTTATGAAGTTTACTTATAGTATGACTTCTTTCCTTGCCTCTACCAATGTGTAACAGCCATATGTCTTAATAATCATGTCTTTTCCCTGCTTAGTTTTAAAATCAATCTTTACTTTGAATATTCTTACCACTTGATTAAGTTCTATTTCTTCTTTTTGACCTAAGCTATGTTTCCATTATAAAAATAATAACTTAATGCTCATTAGATCATCGGTTAAACAGGGTAGAGAACCAAGAACCTAAGATCAGTTGGGATTTAATATATTTAGTATATCACCAAGTATGGATAGTTTAGTTCAATAGAGACAGAATATGCTCTTTAATACAGTGGCATATCTGGTCATGTAGCCAGAAGGATATGAATTTCAACCATGTACAATATAATATGTAGACATACATTTCAGGTAGAACAAAAGTTTAAACGTAATAAGAAAATAATAAAACCTTGCAAGGAAACAGAGTGAACTATGTGAAATTAAAAGACAGAACTTGCTTGCTAATACCCACAGGGATTTTCTTAAATCAATTTAGAAAGCATTCTGGGTGAAGAGTTATATGAAAAGAGCACATAAGGACATAGGTGTGTGTGTGTGTATGTATATGTGTGTGTGTGTGTGTATATATATATATATATATATATATATATATATATAGTTTATAACCAAAATAAGAAACAAGTAAATACCAATTCCATATCATCTATGTCCATTTGAATATTCATGTATTAAATATCAGAAACATCTCCAGCTCCTGTTGATACATAAGAGAACCTTCCATAGTGGAGCTTACATTCTAGAAGGAGGGAAAAGGCAATAGACATGGTTAATAAAACATGTGGCTTTTTGCAAGTTGATTTAAACAAGGAAAAAGTCATAACTAGTAGGATTTGAAAGGACAGTGGACGGTGAATGCCTGGATATCAAGGTAGGATCTCAGTGCACACTGACTGGTGAAATAGGTCACCAAGAAAATCCTGTTGGAAAAAAGACTGTGAGGAAGGGAGTGAGTGAACCAAGTGGTCGAATTCATGTTTCTAACTTTGAATACTTCATTTCCTCAATTTTCATTGTATAAATATTATATCAATAAGAAATATACTACTTGATTTTTTTTTAGTATGAGTAAGCAGAATAAACAGCTTTTCCTTTAAACCTAGTACATTGATAAGACTTGTAAACTTTTGATAAGCTTGTGTTTTTATATACTACCTCTTTTATTGTTTTTATCAGGATTTCTTTTTTGGTTCTGCACACTGAGCTCCAGACTAGCATAGAACTTCCTAGGTAGCTCAAACTGGTCTGAAACTCTAGACACCTTTTCTGCTCTGCTTCCCGACGTATGGGTTTTCACTTCCTTGTTAATTTAATTGGGTTTGTAATCATCATACAAACATTTCAAAGTGTCTCTAGAAATGTAACTTGAGTAAAGAAGACCCACCCTGAACATGGGTGATACCATCCAATGGGGTATGGATACCAGACTGAAAAAAGTGAGCTGAGTACCACCAATCATCTGTCTGCTTCCTAATGTAATGTGCCCAGCCACCACCATTTCTCCACCATGATTGATTTTGTTCTCTCTTAAACCTTGAGCTAAAGTGAGCTATAAGTTGTTTTATCAGGTACTTTTGTTATATCAATATGAAAAGTAACTAGCATATAGTATATGAGCCACCATTTATAGCTACTTCTATCACTCTTAATGTATAAGGCTTTCAGATTATTTTATGTTGGTTGTGGTAGTACACACTAGTAATCCCAGTACTTATGGGGCAGAGGCTGATGGATCTCCATGAGCTCAGGCCTTCTTGATCTACTTAAAGAGTTCCAGAATACCCTGGGCTACACAAGGAGACCTTGTCTCAAAAGCAAACAACAACAACAATACCAAAGCAAAAAGTAATAATAAAACAAAGTCTAAAACTAATTTATATATTACTATGATTTCACTATATTTGTTCATTTTAAAAT